TACAACTATGTACCGGGGGGCTTTGGGGAGAAAAAGGAAAAAATAAAATCTTTTAAAAAAAAATGAAAGGAATGAATAAGAAATATGGTAAAATATTGATCAGTAAGCTTAAGAACTGGTTCTTTGAAAAATCAACGGAGAATAAAGCTCTGACAGGTCATTTAATTTTGAAAGGGGTACAGGAGTTGACAGTTGGGTGTGGAAGCTGGGAGTGTAGGTGGAATAGTCCTGAAGGAAATGAAAGTAAATCTAATTCACTGACGTGCTACAAAAACCTAACGACCAAGTGTGATTTGCCTTTGGGATATGCTACAAAAACCTAACGACCAAGTGTGACTTGCCTTTGGAATATGCTATGGCGTGATATCATTCACCACCTCAATGTCAAATGAGAAAAATAGATGCAAGGCATTTGCTAACATTCAATAACTAATCCTGATAACTTTTAAAGGTAAAGACACTCCCTTGCTAAGGTAGCCTCAGACCAAGAAACAAGATCACGCTGAAAGCATAAGGTGGCCAATTATCACCATTAACAGTTCTCCCAGTTCTAACCATTTCAATAAAGCAGGAAATAAGGTATATTTTGCTAAACCAAGAGAATAAAAAGTTATTAGAACTTAAAACAGTCCAGAAATAGGCCTGGTTGTAGTGAGCAAAATATATAACCTTATTGTCCAGCAAATATAAACTAATAAATTTATGCAATGGAATCCTAAACAGTAGTAAAAATGTATCCAAACTCATGCATAAGTGTGACAAAGTATTGCACAATGCTCAGGATACGCTATGGAGGACAGAAGGAGATGCAGTTGGGAAAAGGTAATTAGACAAAGGACTTCAACTACATTGATGTTTTATTTCTTCAGCTGGATGGTGCTGGGTACATGGGTGTTCCTTATTCTATATACTATAATAGTTTAGAACTTGCACACCTGAAATATAAATTTTTTGAGATAATTTGTTAAATTTCACGATGCATTTGAGGTGGGTAGCATGGGAGTCAATAACAGGCCTAATTCTGCATGAAAGCTGATTAATAGCTGTTTGCATTATGTGATTAAACATGTCTCTTTGCCACCTAAATAATTCCCTCCACCCATATGTCTGGTATGATTATCACTGGTTATCTCCTTATTAAAATAGTCCCCTTCTCCTATAATTAGGATGACCATATAATTTATTATCCAAAGTTGGACAAATTTAAGAATAAAAAGGGGGGGCCGGCCCCGTGGCCAAGTGGTTAAGTTCATGCACTCAGCTTCGGTGGCCCAGGGTTTCACCGGTTCAGATCCTGGGCAGGGACGTGGCACTGCTCATCAGGCCATGCTGAGGTGGTGTCCCACATGCCACAACTAGAGGGACCCACAACAAAAATACACAACTATGTACCGGGGGGATTTGGGGAGAAAAAGCAGGAAAAAAAAGGATTGGCAACAGTTGTTAGCTCAGGTGCCAATCTTAAAAAAAATAATAAAAAGGGTGCTATTAATTATGCTGGGCTACAGGTGCAAACAAACCAGATAAACTGAAGTGTATGGCTCTATGCTTAGGATGGGGAAACATATACTGGCTGGGGAAACAATTATTACCCAGCATAAACAAAAAATTTTATTGAGCACTTACCATGTACTGACAACACTGAGAAGTACTCTGCTTTCCAGAAACTTACTGAAGGGAAGGAGGCAGGTGTTAGGAAAGTACAAGGGGCAATGGGTACACAAAGAGACAAGTAGAGGTAGCAAGATTAAACATTTTCTCAAAAACAAGGCATAACCAGCTAGAAAACAACAGGAAATAGATTCCCTTCACAACAGTAACAATAAAATACCTGAGAATAACCTTAAAAAAGGGTTTGAGACCCATGTGAAGAAGGAAACTGCAAAACTTGTGAGAAGCATAAAAAAAGGCAAATGAAGAGACTTACTGTGTTCATTTGCATAAAAATGCAAATATAGCTGACCTTGAGACTTTGGGGAACAAACTGACATGCTAAGCAAGGTGGGAGGTGAAATGAGCAGACCTGACAGAAAATTACCTCAGCCATGAATATTCGGCATGCTGTGGTCTACTGTAAAGAGAAAATGAAGTGCCAAGAGCCAGTTGGGGAAGGAATAGCTTTGTCAGTGTTAAGGTTGGGAAACTTGCCTAAGTATTGGGAGGGGAAAAAACAAAGTTTGCTCTGCACTTCACTCTAAATAAATTCCAGGGGCCGGCCCGGTGGCGCAGCAGTTAAGTTCGTGTGCTCTGCTTCGGTGGCCCAGGGTTTCGCCGGTTCAAATCCTGAGTGCGGACATGGCACCGCTCATCAAGCCGTGCTGAGGCGGCGTCCCACATGCCACAACTACAAGGACCCACAACTAAAAATACACAACTGTGTACTGGGGGGCTTTGGGGAGAAAAAGGATAAATAAAAATCTTTAAAAAAATAAATTCCAGGGGCTGGCCCCGTGGCCGAGTGGTTAAGTTCGCGCGCTCCGCTGCAGGTGGCCCAGTGTTTCGTTAGTTCGAATCCTGGGCGCGGACATGGCACTGCTCATCAGACCACGCTGAGGCAGCGTCCCACATGCCACAACTAGAAGAACCCACAACGAAGAATACACAACTATGTACCGGGGGGCTTTGGGGAGAAAAAAGGAAAAAATAAAATCTTAAAAAAAAAATAAAATAATAAAATAAAATAAATAAATTCCAAATGTAAGATTCAAGCATGAAAAACGTGAACTGATTTTTTTTAAGCATGAAATGAAAATGGGGGCAGATAATAACTGATCCAGGATATGGAAAATCTAAGGCAAAAAACTACGAAAGACATAATAATGGAAAAGACTGACGTACTTGACTAAAATGTTGGTAACACCACAAACAGAATTAAAAAGCTATGATGACAATCCAGGAAAAAATACATCTCTAACAAGCAATACATCTGGATAGTATTAAATTAATCCTGTATATATATATATCTTTAAACTTACAAATCACTGAGACAAATCTCCAACAGAAAAACTGCAAGGACATGAAAAGGGAATTCACAAAAGAAGAAATATAAATGAGCAATAAGCATATAAAATGCTTACCTCTGTGATAATAATTACCTCTGTAATAATCAAAGATCCATTGAAAGCTCGATGAAAACCACTTACCAAATTGAAATATATCCTTGTGTGTGTGTGTGTGTGTGTGTGTGTGCTAACATGGGTGGGAGAGAATATGAAGAAACAGGCACTGTTATACACTGCTGAGAAACCTTTCTGATGTGTAATTTTGTAATATCTACTGAGAAAGAGAAAAGCAGCCCCTAACTTCCGGGAGCTGGCCTGGCATTCACAGGTTAGGCCTTAGTGTTCTGTTGAACATAAACAATTTCACAGAACATCAACATCAGACAAGGCCACTCTGTGACCGTGATGGATTAAGACAAATCTGAGACCACTCCAAAATTATGTCTGAACACAGACAAAATATACACATTGTCAAACCACTAAAATTAACCAAACATCCCCTATCCTAATTAATATGAGTGGCTGCTTTTTTTTTAACCAATTACAGCTTAAGCCTCTCTCTAGTCTGTCCTCTCTATACAGAAGATGTATTAGCATACCCATTCATAAAATTATCCCCACTTCTGGATGGTATTCAATCTAGAGCAAAACCTCGCTTCCTTAAACAGCCTCACATCACCTACTACAAGCCCAAAGCATCTGATACATCGTCCCTCTTACTGAGATACTCCACAGTTCCGTCTGCTGTGCATTCCCCCTCACTGGCAAATTTCTCAACTCAGGGCAGGTTCAGCTCCTGGTTTTTGGCTGCAGTGGCACTGACACTTTGAAGAACCTTAAAACACATATAGTAAGGTGCTGCTATGTATTCTATACTTCTGTTAATGCTTTTTAATATTCACAAATTCAGACAGAAACTGGCAGCCCAAACTTTTTTGGCTTGCAGACACAACACGGGGTGTGTGTGTGTATGTGTGTTAATGTGATTGGTTTGGGGTGGACATGTCTTCTGCAGGTCCTACGCTCATTATCACTTGTATCCTCCTGCTTTGTTCGCTCATTCATTCAACAAACATTTATTGACCACCTACTGTGTACCAGGATGGGGATGCGGCAGTGAACACAGATATAAATTCCTGCCATCATGAAGCTGACATTCTAACAAGGAAGGCAGACAATAACCAAATATGTCAGGGAGTGAGTGACATATTTTCTTCTCTGAAGAAAGATAAAGCAAAGTAAAAGGATAGAGAGTTGAGGGGGGAGGCTATTTTAGTTGGAGTGGTCAGAGGAAGGCCTCTCTGAGAAGGTGACATTTGAGCTTGGAAGACCTGCTCGGAAGAAGCCAGGGCATAAGCCATTGGGGGATCTCAAGGAAGAGGGTTCCAGACAGAGGGAATAGCCAGTGTAAAGGCTCCGATACGCGTGGCATCTAGAAGGAAGACCAGTGTGGCTCTAGGGAAGTGAGTGATGGGAAGCATCGTAGGAGTTGAGGTCAGAGAGTCGGACGTGGTCCAGATCGGAGGCTTTTATTCTGAGTAAGATAGGAACTACCAAAGGGTATTACACAGAGGAGATGTGAGCCTAGGCCTCTCTAGCTGCTTGTGGAGAGTGGGTAGGAAGGGCTATCCTGGAGGCCAGGAAAGTCTGAGGAGGCTGCTGCTGCCTTCTTCCAGGCAGGACACAAGTTACCTGCCAGGACTCTGGAAAGAGTCCTTAATAGATTTAGGTACGCATGGGGTGGGGATACAAGGCATTGTTAAAGGGATAAAGAACTAGGGGCCTGAGGTGAGTTAGAGCCTCACCCTTGATGCTTGAAGTTTTTGTCTGTACTATTATTGTTGTTGTTGTGTTTTCATTGTCTGTTTTTCAACCATCGGCATGTATTTCTACAATTAAAAATAAGCAGCCTAGTTTCAGTGGGCACGCTCCCCCTTCGCAACCTTAGCAACTAGGGGCACCTGGCCAAGCCCTGCACGCCAATCGCAGTGAGGCCTCGCCCAACTAGTCCTGGTATGCCTGGGGCTTCCCGGGTTTTAGCACTGAAAGGCCCACGTCCCGGACGAACCGGGACAGTTGGTCCCCCTCCGTGAGCAAACTTGCTCCTCCGCCCGGAGGGGAGAAGGCGGGGCCGATGGGCCCCACCCCAGCGCGCAGGGCCTTCAGCCATTGACCGAGAGCGGGACAGAGCACCCGGGCGAGCTCTGCCGGGCAACCCGAGCCCGATTCTCAGCCGCTGCCCAGAGCCTCTCAGCCTCAGGCCCCTCCCTGGCACTGCCTTTCCCAGACCCGCTTCTTCCTGGAAAATCAAGGTGTGTGACTCTGTGTAAACGGATAACTTAGGGGAGGGAGCATTATTACTGAGTCCTGGAGATTGTGTGCAGGTCTAACTGCAAGTGATTATATGACTGGGTATGACTGTACATGGCTGATTGTGCGTGACCGAATGGGCTTGTGGGGACTGTCACTTCTTGTCTGTGGTTGCAGGAGAGGGTGTGTGTCTGTGTGATGTGTGACCACGTGTAGCTGGGATCTAGTGCCGCAAGTTATGGTGATTCTGTGAATGTCAGTCGAGACTTAACGTGAAAGAGTGGCCATTAGTGAGTGTGTCTGTTTCTGGGACAACGGGGGTGTGTGTGTGTATGAGACTGTGTGAGAACATGCCTGCATAGGATTGCTTCTGTCTTTGGAATTGGCTTTCTTGTGGCCAAAAAGTGTTTCTGCGTGTCCCTGGATCTTTCTGGGCTTGTGTGTGACTCTTGAGTAGTAACGAGGCCCATAGGTTCTGGAGTCAGACAGACTGGCCTGAGTACAAATCCTGGCTCTGGTTACTTACTGGCCAGGTAACCTTGGACAAAGTATTGAACCTCTGTGTTCCTCCTCAGTTTCCTTGTCTGCAAAATACAAATCTATCTGGTGCTCAGCACAGTGCCCCGCCTTCAAGAAGCACTGGGTAAACATCGGCTCATATTAACATGTGTCTATATCTGCAGGAGTGTGCACCTGTGATTCTGTCTGCATTTCAGAGATCATGCATCTATGTGTGGCTCTCATGGGTTTCATCAGTTCAAGAAATATTAATTTGGCACCTACTAGATACCAGGCACAGCAGTAGACACTGGATATGCAGTTATGAAAAAAACAAACCAGCCACAGCCCCTGCCTTCATTCAACTGCCACCTTCAGGATCTGACCACATGGACCACCTTTAACACTAGAGATATATTTGCTGACATGCAAAATTGCATGGGCACAAATGTATTGCAGGAAAGGGTCAGAGATGATTTAAATCAATGGGTGACTAACTACACCCGTTATAGTCCATCCTCATTATGCCCTTTAGACCTCTTGGAGCCAGTAATTTCTCACCTTTACTGTATTTTTTGACTCTCTATTCTGTTCCATTGATGTATTTTTTTTGATCTTGATTCCAGTACCATGCTGTTTTGATTACTGAAACTTTATAACAAGCCTTGAAATCAGGTAGTGTTAGGCCCTCCAACTTAGTTCTTCTCTTACAACATTGTTTTGGCAAGTCTAGGTCCTTTGCATTCCATATGAATTTTATAATCAGCTCGTCAACTTTCACCCAAAAAAGCCTCCTGATATTTTGATTGGGATTTTATTGCATCTATAGATTAATTTGAGGAGAACTGACATCACAACAACATTGAGTATTCCAACCCATGAACATGGTATATCTCTCCATTTATGTAGATCTTTAATTTCTCTCAGCAATATTTTGCTTTTCAGTGTAAAGGACTTGCAAATCTTTTGCTAAATTTTTCCCTAAGTATTTCATCTTTTTTATGGCATTATATTTTTAATTTCAATTTGACTATTCATTGATAGTGTATAGAAATACAATTGATTTTTTCTATTAAACGTGTTATCCCATAATTTAGCTAAACTCACTTATTAGTTCTAGTAGCTTTTTTTTTAGATTCCATAGGATTTTCTACATAGATAATCATGTTGTGTGCAAGTAAATACAGTTTTACTTCTTCCTTCCCAATCAGTCTAACTTTTATTTATTTTTCTTGCCTTATTGCCCTGGCTAGACCCCCAAGTGCAATGTTAAACAGAAATGGTGGGAGTAGGCATCCTTGCCTTTTTCCTGATCTTAGGGTGAACACACTCTGTCTTTTACCTTTAAGAATGAAATTAGCTGTAGTTTTATGTAGCTGCCCTTTGTCAGGTTGAAGAAGCCCCCAAATTCCTAATTTTCTTTTCTTTTCTTTTCTTTTTTTTGAAGAAGATTAGCCCTGAGCTAACATCTGCCACCAATCCTCCTCTTTTTGCTGAGGAAGACTGGCCCTGAGCTAACATCCATGCCCATCTTCCTCTACTTTATATGTGCGACGCCTACCACAGCGTGGCTTGCCACGCAGTGCCATGTCCGCACCTGGGGTCCAAACCAGCAAACCCTGGGCCGCCGAAGCAGAACATGCGAACTTAACCACTGCACTGCCAGGCCAACCCCCCTAATTTTCTAAGAGATTATTTTTTTGCTTCCTTTTTTTTAATCAGAAATGGATGTTGGATTTTATCAAATGCTTTACTGGCATCAATTAAGATGATCACATGATTTTTCTTTATTAGTATGTTAATATGGTGAATTACATTGATTGGTTCTCAAGTGTTAAACCAACCTTGCATTCCTAAGATTAAACGCCACTTGGGGGCTGGCCCCGTGGCCGAGCGGTTAAGTTCACGCACCCCGCTGTAGGCAGCCCAGTGTTTCGTCGGTTCAAATCCTGGGTGCGGACATGGCACTGCTCATCAAACCACGCTGAGGCAGCATCCCACATGCCACAACTAGAACGACCCACAACGAAGAATATACAACTATGTACCAGGGGGCTTTGGGGAGAAAAAGGAAAAAATTAAATCTTTAAAAAAAAAAAAACACCACTTGATCATGATGTATTATCCTTTTTATATATTGTGTTGGATTGGATTTGCTCGAGTTTTGTTAAAAACTCGTATATCTATGAGCAATATTTGATCTGTAATTTTCTTTTCTTGTAATATCTTTGATTTTTTAAAATAGACTTTATTTTTTGGAGCAATTTTAGATTCATAGCAAAATTGAGCAGAAGGTACAGAGATTTCCTGTATACCCCCTTCCCCCACACATGCATAGCCTCCCCCATTATCAACATCCTGCGCCAGAGTGGTACATTTGTTACAGTTGATCAGCCTACATTAATACATCATAATGACCCAAAGTCCATAGTTTACATTAGGGTTCACTCTTGGTGTTGTACATTCTGTGGGTTTGGACAAACGTATAATGACATGTATCCACTACAGTGTCATACAGAGTATTTTCACTGCCCTAAAAATCCGCTGTGCTCTGCCTAGTCAACCCTCCCTTCCTTCCCCTAATCCCTGGCAACCACTGTTCTTTTTACTGTCTCCATAGTTTTGCCTTTTCCAGAATGTCATATAGTTGGAACGATACAGTATGTAGCCTGTTCAGATCAGCTTCTTTCACTTTGTAACACGCATTTAAGGTTCCTCTATGTCTTTCCATGGCTTGATAGCTCATTTCTATTTAGCACTGAATAGTATTCCATTGTCTGGATGTACCACAGTTTATTTATCCATTCACCTACTGAAGGACATCTTGGTTGCTTCCATGTTTTGGCAATTGTGAATAAAGCTGCTCTGAATATCCATGTGCAGATTTTTGTGTGGACATAGTTTTCAAATTCCTTTGGGTAAATACCAAGGAGTGTGATTGCTGGATGGTATGGTAAGAGTATGTTTAGTTTTGTAAGAAACTACCAAACTGTCTTCCAAAGTGGCTGTACCATTTTGCATTCCACCAGCAATAAATGAGAGTTCCTGTTGCTCTACACCCTAGTCAGCATTTGGTGTTGTCAGTGTTCTGAATTTTGGCCATTGTGATAGGTATGTAGTGGTATCTCACTGTTTTCATTTGCATTTCCCTAATGACATAGGATCTGGAGCATCTTTTCATATGCTTATTTGCCATCCATATATCTCCTTTGGTGAGATGTCTGTTAAGGTTTTTGGCCCATTTTTTAATTGGGTTGTTCATTTTCTTACTATTGAGTTTTAAGACTTCTTTGTATATTTTGGATAACAGTCCTTTATCAGATATGTCTTTTTCAAATATTTCCTCCCAGTTTGTGACTGGTCTTTTCATTCTCCTGACAGGGTCTTTCACAGAGCAGAAATTTTTAATTTCAATGAAGTCCAGCTTATCAATTCTTTTTTTCATGGATCATGCCTTTGGTGTTGTATCTAAAAAGTCATTGCCAGACCCAAGCTCGTCTAGATTTTCTCCTATAGTATCTTCTAGGAGTTGTATAGTTTCACATTTTACATTTGAGTCTGTGATCCACTCTGAGTTAATTTTTCTGAAGAGTAAGGTCTGTGTCTAGATTCCTTTTTTGGCATGTGGATGTCCAGCTATTCCAGCACCATTTATTTTATTGTGATAAGAATACTTAACATAAGATCTACCCCGTTAACAAATTTTTAAGCGTACAATTCATTGTTGTTGATGACACAGGTGCACTGTTGCACAGCAGCTCCCTAGAGCTTATTCATCTGTTTGACTGAAACTTTGTGCATATCGATTAGTAACTCCTCATTTCCCCCTCACTTCAGCCCCTGGCAACCATGATTCCATTCTTTTAATTCTAAGAATTTGGCTATTTTAGATACCTTATATGAGTGGACTCATGCAATATTTGTCTTTCTGTGACTGGCTTATTTCACTTGGCATGATGTCCTTAAGGTTCATCCATGTTGTCGAATATTGCAGAATTTCCTTCTTTTTTAAAGGCTTGATAGTATTCCATCTTATGTGTATACCACATTTTCTTTATCCATTCATCTGTTCATGGACATTTAGATTGTTTCCACATCTTGGCTATTGTGAATAGTGCTGCAATGAACATGAATGCTAATATCTCTCTGAGATCCTGATTTCAATTCTTTTGGATAAATAACCAGTCGTGAGATTGTTGGATCATATCATAGTTCTATTTTTACTTTTTTGAGGCACCTCCATACTGTTTTCCATAGGGGCCGCACCATTTTACATTCCCACCAACAGTGTGCAAGGGTTCTAATTACTCCATATCCTTGCCAACACTTGTTGTCTCTTTTTTTTTTTTTTTTTTTGATAATAGCCATCCTGACAGGTGTCAGCATCTGTTGAAAAGATTATCTTTGCTCCATTATATTACCCTTGCTCCTTTGTCAAAGATCAGTTGCTTATGTTTATGTGGGTCTATTTCTGGGCTCTCCTTTCTGTTCCATTGATATATTT